CATAAAAAAGAATTTAGGTATTTCAAAATTGACCAACAACTAGAAGGTAGCATTGCATAATAAAAGGAACAAATGGATTTGGAGTCAGAAATCCTGAGTTCAAATCTAGGTTCTGCTATCTATTCAATGTCACAAAAATAACATCATTTAATCTCTTACAATTTTTGTTTCCTAGTCTAGAAAATATAAGGGAATTACACAAGATTAATTCTGTTGCCCTTTCTAGATTTAGATCTATGAATGTAATACTTTGTTTTTCCATAATATTCTATTTATTAAAATAGCCAGGCCAGAGCCTTAATTTGTGTTATTTCAATTTCAAAGTATTACTTTTAAAATTTTATTTAACCAAATAATTTCCATGCAAAGCATTGTGAGGCAATGTCATGGTCCCGTCCCAAAAAGTACTTATAATAAATGTCAGATTTACCTTAATCTAATGGAAGTAAACTCGTACACACAAAAACCCAGCTATACAAAGCAGTATATGACAGATGGCAAAGAAATGGCACAAAATGCAGGACAGGAAAAACTTCTCTCTAGGATAGACTAACCCAGAAGCCAGACTGGGTAACATGAGGGTAGAATTGGTTAAAAGATTTCAGGGAAAACACGTGCAGGTAAGTTCTAGGAACAGTGGGCATATTGGTCTAAAAGGAATGGGGCAGAGACATTAGGGATGTCACTCTCCAAAATTAGCAATAAATTGTATAAAAGTGTTATAAAAGGCTGCAAAGGTAAGCCCCAGTCATTCTGCCAAAGATACTGAATATCAGGCTAAGTCTGTATGCTACTGTAGGCAGTGGAACCAGTGTCCGTGGGTCTTACATTACCTTTAAAACAATACTGGAATTAAAGCGTTAAGCTAAAGCATAACATTGCTTTGAATTTAACTAGAAATCTTGGCATAATTGGATGATATTTTAATTTGGCTCTTGATGGCTACATGGAAAATGTGAAATTAAACTAGAATGCTTTGCACTGATACGAATTTTATGAATTCACTTACATTTGAATTACCAAGACTCACTGACTGTGCTTGGGAATGTCTCAGTTCCCCATGTCCTTCCTCTCTGCCCCTTATATCCTTTCTCATCTTTTATCTTAATTGTTACTTAACCCTTTTTGTTATGTAACTGATCATTAATTATTTTAATATTTAACAAAATATTTAATTTTTAATTTGAGTTAAATAAATTAAATTAATTCATTAAATTAAATATTTAATACTTCCCCATATATTAACAAATTTTCATTTAAGCTTAGTCAGTCATTTTTAGTATGATTTAATGTAAGTCAGTTTCCCAACTCACAAAGGTGAGGACTAAGTATGGAAGCTGTGGTGACAGCATAATAAACAGAAAGTAATCAGTCAGGCTACAAAACCATCTTTTAGTTGCAAAGATTACTGTAGAGAAGAATTAAGCACACCAATAGCAGCAATGATTAAAATACCAAAGTAATCAGAAATAAGAAACTTGATTTTACCTACCAGCTTAAAGGCTGTGGTACTTCAACTTTCTGACCATCTACCACCAAATCCTCTAGTTCCTTGAAATACTTGTTCTTCAAGCAATGAAGAATTTCCTTTGCATGGCTGTTGAGAGAAGGCAAATAGTGTTTAATTGCTGTCAGCTTGATTTAAAAGAAAACTTAATATTATTTTTTTCCCTTAAGAAATGTTTCGAAACACATTTAAAATCCAAAGCTAACTTTTTTTATGCTTGAAAAGAAGGCATTTGTCGTTTTTATCACTGCCCTTATTGAGGAAAAAAACCTAAACATTGCCCATTTTCTTGCTTCTTTAGATGTGACAGGTTTAAAACATACCTCGTTACTACCTTTTAGAACTATTCCTGAAATATCGTTTCTATGATTCAAACCTTTTAGACATAAAAGAAGACGACAAAGGACGGTGAGGAAAAATTCTGCCAACATACATTAATTTTGCAATTCTTTTCCCCAAAGATCAAAGAATTAAATTATCTATCGTCCAAATCAAACATTTTTTAAATTCCCTTTTCATTGTAGCTCATAATAAGATCATCTTCTCATTAATGATTTTTTTCTGGAGGTAGTACTGTTTTTTAGTTTTGCTCTCTTAACTGACTTATGCTAATATAACCTAAAAATTAATGCAATAACTGACCTGACCATATTTCCTATTGATTGATATTACTAGTTTATTTAAAGCTTTTTGGCTCTACTGAGAGTATAAGAAATAGACAGAAAATAGAATGGATTTCCCATCATTCCAAAACCTCAATTTTTATCAACAATTAGAGTTGAATTACAATACTTGAACTCCAAACACTTCAGTATCCAATGTGATTATAAGATACTAAAAATAGCAATTAAGAAAGAGGAATTGGGAAGAATTAGACCAAACCAAATACAAAGAGCAAATCCAAAGCATCGTGGGATCATTTTACATACTTTCTCAGGGAAGGGAAGATGCAGACAGCAACCAAAAAAGTTGTCAAGAGGACATTAGTAATGACCAACCCACTGGCACCCCCCTCATGTTTACAGAGATCTTTATGAGAATGATCAAGTATTAAGTCTATTTCCATGGCATATTAAGCCTGGAATCAGTGGAGACCTAGAGTCAAATTCAACTGTTGATGCTTACTACCTCCTCAGGCCTGTTTCCTTAACTATAGAATGAAGAAGGTGGACTAACCAGTCTGAAGTTCCTTTCAGCTCTAGACTACATTCCAGATGATAATCGAATAAATGGCCTTAACAAATAAGTTTCTACAGCAGACCACTACTTAATGTTGGCTGTAAGAAAATACTGGGTTCGTTATTTCCTTAAAAAACACATTTGACTTAGTAAAACAGAATGCAGCCTTAAAGGCTTTCTCCCACAAGAAATATCTCATGCACCTTAAGATCACAGAAGACTGAAAAATACAATCACTATGACAGCCCTTAACAAATCTCTAAATATTTATACCAACTAACCCAGAAAACAAGAGGTATGATGGTCAAAGGTATTTGCCGCTGTCATGGATAATGCCCTGTAAAAATTTCAAAAAGAAGAGGGACTCTTTTGTAAGATTGTGATGTCCTCCACATGCTCTCCCTTATGATATTATAACAAGCATATCAAAGCCCAAAACACAGCAGCATCTCCTTATGAGGCCTATGACCTCTCAACAGATTAATTCATACAGTAAAAATCAACTGGATGAAAAATGCTTACTTTTTAAATAAGCCCAGTCTATGACATGCAACTGAATAACTAATATATCAGTACAGATATGTGCAAATGGGCAATGAGCTGGGCCCAGAAGTGAATAAGAGATCTGGCTGGATGACATTTGGAAAACTGCATGTAAGTTTCCCCACTGCCCTACAAAGACTGGCTTTAAAAAAAAAAAAAACCCAACACATATAAAAACATCTCCAGAAACTCAAAATCATGGTTGACACAAAAAAGAAAAATGCAATATGGATATAAAAGCAGATTTCAACACATTACCAGAACCTCAAAAGCACCATAACCGAAGGGATGATCAGCCAAGATATGTATGAGAGGAAAAGGAGATAAAGTGATATAGCATGGACAAGGCTTAACGTGTACCAGCCCTACAACCCATTTAAGATGAAAGACACATTGGACCTCTGCAGATGACAGGGTCAAGAATCTCATATAAGGCACAGAGAGATGAAAGAAAATGCATGCTTAATACTGAATAGTCTATTACAATAACAGGATCTCAAATAGCATTTATATCAACTAACCAAGAACACAAAAAGTAAAATGGTCAAATCATGGATTATGCTCTACATAAAGTCCAAAAGGAAGAGGGATTCTCTTATAAAACTAATAGAAGACAACTTTTTAAAAATTTATACTGAGATTAAATTTCTTCTAAAACAGCGGTGCACAACTTCACATTTCCCTTAGCCCCCAACGCACATTAGTCATTTTTCGTGCCGGTCACATGACTGAATTCCCAAGGCGTGTTTTAAGGTGCAGACGAGCTGGGGCGCGCCCACCCGGGCCGTACCATTTGTATCCCGTGATTCTGAGAGTGGCCGGGAGGGGCTCCCGGAGGGCCTGCATGAACTGCTCCCACTCGCCTTCGGGCACGATCTTCAGCTCCTGGTAGTAGTGTTCAAACAACTTGTTCTCTTTGACGATCTCGGGGTAACCACCCTCCCAGCCCTAAAGAAAAACGAGAAACGATAAAGAACGTCCCCAAAAGGCAGGGAGCCGCCGACCACCGCTCCCCTCACCGCCCGCTGCTCGGGGCTCGGCCCCGCCAGGGCCTCCAGCCCATTTCTCTAACGGCCGGTCCAGGCTGCCCCCCTCCCACCCCCGCGTACGTGGCCCTAACCGACTTATCCCGCTTCCCGTCCCCGTCCGCCGCGTCCTCTCTAGACTCCGGCCGTTGCTGCTGCTGCTGCGAGCGCCGCCGGTTCCGATACCGTCGCCCCATGCTGCCGAGCTCCGCGAGCACGCCACGCGCCACGCGCTTCAGAATGATGCCGCCGGCCGGTCCCACCTCGAGGCGGGGGGGCCTTCTCTTCAGGCCCCAGCCCCAACAAGTGTCGCCTACGTAAGAGCCTATGGATAGAAGTGGGGAGAAGATCCCCAGGAACCCCCAAATCTGACTTCTCCGCTGGAAAAAGCCCTTGGAAAGGCGGCAGTGTTTTTGACGGCGGATAACTGTAAGGACGAAACCCCAAAATGTCTTTTCTGTGAAGGGCCTTGTTATGCAGGCAGTGCATATGGCCCCTAAGCTGGGGGCGCAGGCGTAGTGCTGTGCGGCTCGTGGGCGGGTCTGGGGAGACCGGAGGAGCGGCTGGAGAGAGCTGGTGACTCTCAGAATTACAGGCATTTTTGATTTGCTCAGAGTAGGTCACATGTGGGGGTGGGGAGATGGAGGGCGGAGAGAAAGGAGGCCCTTTTGTCCAATAGGAAGCCTTCCTCGGGAGTTAAAAGGCCCACCTGTCCAATCGACGTCCTCGGCCCCTCCCCTCAGCCTCCTCCTTTGAAATCTTCAGCTCACCTTTCCTGCTGGTTGATTGTTGGGAGCCGGCTTATTTCGTCTTTTCTAAGCTCCGCTTTATCCTGGTCCCGGGGTCTGGCGGCCAGACCGGAATAAAGCCGATCCCTCGATCCCAGACCAGTGTTTGCTCTGTCTTGCCCTCGCCCCCGGCCCCTCGGGGCGTCGTTGCTGGACCACCCTCGCGGATCGTCCCGGGCTCGGTGCGAGCCCCAGTCTTTCCTGCCGGGACCATGACGCTCGCGGCAGAAATAGGTTCCATGGAAATGCTCTCCTTCCTTGTAGGGTTCTTGGGGCTGACGTGCTGGGTACTGAGGTCGGTCGTGGGACGGTGCTACGGCCGCCACGCCAGCGCCCGCTTCGGCCTGACTCTGCCGGGGAAGCTGGCGTGGGCCGTGCAGGAGCTGCCGTGCTTGCTGGTGCCCCTCTACGTGGTCACCTGCACCCCGGCCCAGCGCCTCAGCCACTGGCCCAATCTCATCCTCCTGGCCATCTTCATCATCCACTACTTGCAAAGGTAACGGTGTTTGGGGGTGAGGAGGGTCCCGCCTTCTCTTTATCCTCCTCCTTCCCCTCGCCAAAGGAACCAGGGGCGTCTGGAGTCGGGGGTGACCTTCAGCCCATTTCAAAGCACTCCCCCCACCCCGGTGAGTTTTGGTCCCCAGGAGGAGACAAAGGAGGAAGAGACCAGGGTGCCAAGAGCGTTCAAATGAAAGGAGAGCGCCCAGCCGCAAGGTCGGAGGGGTCCGATTTCCGTTGCCCCTAGAGGCAGGGTTGGCTCCTATTTTGTCCTGGATATGTGTTGTCCAGCTATGGAATCCTCCTCCTGAGGACACGCGGTTCCGGGCAACCCCCCTCCACCTCGGCCATTTAGTAAACCTTTGCCTCTTTTTTTTTAATCTCACTTTTTAAATTCACTGTAGGAGCTAAGGGTAATTTCTTGTTTTCTTTGGCTCATTTTTTTCCAGTAAGGTAAGACGTTAATAGTGATGCCGTGTAGCCTCTTCTAACAAAGGACCACCTACGGTGGCCAAAGAAATTGATGCTGTGTTAGCCTACTGGTGATGAGCCTGCCTGTAGTTAGCTAGTGTTTGTAAAGTTGACCCCATTGGATGCCAGGAAGCCTTTATAAAGTGATAGAAGCTACAGTAATTACCAGAATTTACCTCTGGTGGGATTGCCTTAGAGAACCAAGGCACAATATGGCACCGATGTAGGACTTTGTGAGGGAAATCCCTTCCAAACTAGGGGTCTGGATAGATTTGATAACTTCAGGAGACAAGACTAGCCTGGAAACCTGAAGGTGGTTGGAAATTGCTCAACATCTGTGATGTATTTGACGTAGTTCACGGTATCTATCACCTTTAGTTATCCTAAAGTTTGTATGTCTGTCTCTAGTATTTTACTTACCTGTTTACTTGTTGTTTTCCTTCAATAGAATCAAGCTTTAAGTTAGGCAGAGAATTTTACTTTTAACTTTGCATTCCTAAGACCTAGCACAATGCCTGGCACATGTTGGGTAGTTAATAAATGCTTGTTGAATTTAAGTGACTTGAGAGAGACTGGAAATGGTAATATCAGTTAGGAAGCTATTGAAAGAGGCCAGGTGAGAAGTGAAGAAGTGCTTGAATTAGGGTAGTGTTGTCCTTTGGAGTGGAGAAAAGGGAAAGAATATGAAAGATATTATTTTTTCTAATAAATGCTCCTCTTTGGCCAAACACATTTCCTTTTTGGGGTATGCAGTACTGAGGGTTCATTCAATGTTACGAAGTTTAGATAAGAAGAAGAGGAGGAACCGTTCAATCAGTATTTGTTCATCACTGGAATATTTGTGTGTATGAAAATAATGTGTTTAGCATTGGCAAAATAGAAGCTTTGTTTCTTTGTATCACTCAACTTTGTCTTGCTCCCAAATTCAGAAGACTTGTAAAACTTAACATCAAATTTAGTCATATAAAGAAATAAAGTTATTGTTAACAGTATGCCGTCATTTTGCACATTTAATGTATTCCTGAAAAGCTTTGTTTGTAAATTAATATACAATCATAGTTTTTTGTTGACATACATCGGAAGAGCCAACATGGTACAGTGAAAAGTGCTGGATTTGGAGTCAAAAGTCTTGGGTTTGAATCCTGCCTTTGCAGGATTATAGCTATATAACCCTGGGCAAGTCACTTAACCCTGTTTTCCTCAGTTTCCTCTTCAGTAAAATGAACTGAAGAAGGAAAAGGCAGCAAACCCTTCCAGCCCGAATAGTTGGACACAACTGAAATAACAACACCATGGTGACAGTTGGACTTAGATGGTTTCAAAGGTGCTGTCTAGCTCTTAATCTGGGATCTTAAACTTATTTTTAAATGTTTCCCCACAGGAAATACTTTTGGCAACATCTTTTGCAATAAAAAATGCTTAAGAATATCAGTTTAAGGAGCACAGATAGCTTCCCAGCTCATATACCACTTAAATTTGGGATTGGTGTCTGCATCAAATCCCTTTCCTTCCCTGTTCTCATGTCCTTCTCCCTTGCCTTTTCCTCTCTATCAGCTATTAGAGACTAGTAACCCTTTACATTCAGGGCATCATGCCCTATGTGATGTGGTTGTTCAGAGGACAAGAATTACAAAACATGCATGCAATTTTATAACTGGTAGGAATCCCTAAGGTTGTCTAGTCCAAGTCAGTGATTTTATAAGTTACTGATTGCAGAGAAATTTTGATTTGCCTTGTTGGTAGAACCCAAGTTTCCTGGTCTCTTTCTACAAAACCTCTGTGTGGAAATAGGAATGCTACTGCATTGTGAAGGACTTTTTCCTAAAATGCAGAGAAACCCTTGAGGCCAATCATACCATGGGAATGGTTGTCACAGACTGAAGATGGATGGAATAATCCAAATCTAGCTTGAGCTCTAGACGAGCAAATACTTAATCTGAGCAGGGGTAAAGGAATAGCCAATGGGACATGCGGAAACCTATCCAAATATGAATTAGTCTCCTTGCACACTTTCAATTGTCTACATAAAGTGGTTTTTTTTTTTAAGTTGTTGTATAGTAATGTACATACAGTTTGCAAAATCAAAACAGCTGTCCTCTGATTTTTGGAGACTTATTTAGAAAACATTGGCTGGTATGCTTAGTAAACTAATACATTCAATGGGAAACAGAACCTGTGGAAAAACCATGCAGTGTTACATAAAACCAACTACTGTATCAAATGTGCTGATAGGAAGGCAGATCTAAGTAAATTTTCCAATGATGAATGTTGAAAGGCTGAAAAAAACCCCAAACCTACAAGGTCACTTTTATTTTCCAAGTTAAAAACCCAGCTTTGAATTTACTAGTTAGTAAAGAGAGAAAACAGATTTTAAAATCATAGGCTCTCAGAGTTACAAAGGACTTGGAATTCTTTAATCTAACCTGTAATGAATCAGTAATGTCTTACCAGATAAGAAGTCATTTAACCATTGAATGTCATTGAGCCATTGAGTAGAGATGGAGGAATTGACATCATCCAAAGAAATCCAGCTATGCTTGTATTTTATAGCTGGTCTTAACATTTGACGGCACTGCAAGTACTGAATTCTTCGTTGTCTTTAAGTACTATTTTCAAAATATTTCAAAAAGAGCACAAAATATCTTTTCTTGTGAATTATTTTTTAACTGTTATACCTGTAGTTTTTTATGGGTTTCTGAAGTTTTCTGAAGCTACATTGTTAAAGAAGTATATTTGTTTCTGTAATTGAACACCATCAGTCCTGTTTCCTCTCTCCCTCCATATGCACATGTATTTTTCTGCAAACATACTGTATAGAGTATGTAATAATTGATTACCATAGTCAGTCAAATTATATCAGTGTGTTAGCTGGCTTCAGTGTCTGTTTTCCAAAATTAAAATGTAACAAGAATATTAATTGTGTAAAGCTTCCTTAAAAGTATAATTTCTCTTCTAGGAATTAGTATTGTAGGAAAAAACCCAAAATAAATGAATATACGCATGACTCTCAATACCAGTTATCTTGCTGATGTCTATCCTACTTGTACTTATACACTTCCCTAAATATTGTGATGAATAAGCAGGATACTCTGTGAAAAAGGCAGGGTTTTGTAAACCTTTGTCATTTTAACAATGAGGTTTTCCAGCTATTTTAATTCCTCCTGCCTTATACTCTCATCATAGAGACTTCTTGGATTTTTGTTATCACACACAAAAAGGGGTCTTCAAGGGGCCATTTAGTACAACTTGTTACTAAACAAGAATTCATTCCCTCTTTATACCTGACAAGTAATCATTCAGTCTTTGCTTGAAGATTTCTAGATAGAGCATTTATTAGGTGCTTACTGTGTTTTGCCAGGCTCTGTGCTAAGCAGTGTGAATACAAATACAAATACACTTGCTCTCAAAGAGATTACATTTTAATGGAGAATGATTACATAATGATTACATAAAATTAAAAAGGTTTTATATGAACAAAATCAGCACAGCTGAAGTTAGAAAAGAAGCAATTACAGGAAATATTTGCAATAAGTATCTTTCATAATAGTCTGCTAGCCAACATATATAGGGAATTTTTGCAAATATTTAAGAACAAGAGCTTTTGACCCATTACATCTCAGCTGGCTCCACCATGGTTTACTTTAATCCCACCTATGTTACCACTAGCAGCCATAGGCATCTCGCACCGTTTCTTTAAATACTGTAGCCATAATTAAACCAATACTGCCATTGCTACTGTACAGTAGTAAAAATAGCCATCTCTGTCTACCACAACTGCTGGCCAAATTTCCACCTTCTGCAAGAAGCTTTTCCAGATCCTCCTTAATGTTAGTACCTTCCCTCTGAGACTACCTCCAAATTTATTTTGTATATATCTCACTTGTACATAATTGTTTGCATATTGTCTCCTCCATTGGACTGTGAGTTCTTTAAGATTGAGGGTGTTTGTTTTTACCTTTCTTTTTATTATCAGCACTTAGAACGGTGCATGGCACATAATAGGTACTTAATAAATGCTAGTTGACTGACTTACTCCCCTTTATGTGTTGTCTCCCATATAAAAATATCAGCTCCTTTGGGGGAGGAACTGTCTTCAGTTTTAGATTTCAATCCCATTGCCCAGTGCTTGAGAGGTAGTATAATAAATACTTCTTCAATCTTTTCAAAGACAACAAGGATAAATGGGGAAAATGGATTCATTGTTGGTACTAAGAATGTGCCTGATTTGGAAAACAATGTTACTTAAAAAAAAATACCCCTGACATATACAATGTACAATCTAGTATTTATTAACAGCCCTTTATACTAGGGAAGTCAAAGAAGAGGAAATAAGATATCTTTGTGTGTGTGTATACACATATATATGTATATGTGTGTATATATATATACACACATGTATATATATACATAGGTTTTATTTCATATATTATACCATATATCAATATATCATTATATTCTATTAATACTATTGATAATTAGCATGATATGCCAGTAATATGAAATTTATATTATATTGCTGTGTAATACATGTTGTGTGTGTGTAATAGCAGCACTTTTTGTGGTTGCAAAAAACCGGAAACAAAATAGATACCCAACAATTGGGGTATGGCTAAATAAGTTGTGGTGCATAAATGGAATGGATTATTACTGTGCTGTATGAAATGAATACAGGGAATACAGAGAATCATTGTATAAACTGGTACAAAATGAACAAGCAGAACCAGGAAAACAACATACATAAGCGATAACATCCAGTGTAAGTGGAAAGAAAAACAAAACAATCAAAACTAACCAGTGTGAAATTAACATGACCAAACTTGGCTCCAAAGAGATACACCTCTTTTCTGTACAGAGGTTGAAGATTAGAGGTATGAAATACTACATGGAATGTCAGACTTGGGTTATGTGTTGGTCAGTTTTGCTGAATTGCTTTTCCTTCATCTTTTAAAAATTCTTTGTTAAAAAAAAAAATTCTTTGTTGTAAGAATTGCCCTGTGGGAGGGGGTGGAATATACTGAGAAGTATAAGTTATTTAAAAAAAAAAAGATATCAATAAATTTAAAAAAAATAGATCTTAAAGAAAAGAAAAGCTTCTTAATTTTCTGTATATGTATTGCCCTGACAGCTTTATCTAGGAATGCTCTTGGTTTAACTGGGTATTACAATAATCTTTTTTTTTTGCCTCCCCTGCTTTTCAGTGTTGGGGAGGGGTGGGGCAGTATTATATGCCAGGACAACCTGGAGTTTCCTGATGATTGGTATATTCACACATTCATGAGATTTTCTAGCATTTATAAAGCATGCCTGAGATATTTTTGTGTTTGTTTTCTTAATTCTCAAATAAAAAGGAATAGTGGGAGAGATAGAGGGGAAGGAGAACAGTGGAGCTTGCCATCAGTGTTGTGCTGGACAATTCCTCTTATGATATGTGCAACAGTGTGTCCCACTAATAAGAGACTGCCAGTGACGATACTCTCTTGTGTCTACTTTTGAATGTCAGTAAGTTGTTCAGTTCTTTGAGCTACACCTTTTCCAGGTCTCCAAACTGAGGTCACAGTTCATTTTACACCAAAAACTTGCTTCTCTATGGCATATAGTGACTTTAGGCAAAAGGAAAACAATACCACCTCCCATCCTTGGTGTTAAGGTTTTTGAAACACTAATCACACAGCCAAGCTGATTGGGAATAGCTATCAGCTTGAAATTTCAAACCTATTCACAGTAGTTGAGCATCCTTTTTTAAAAGCTAACTTTTATATAATGCTTAAAATTTTTATCTCATTTGATAGCTTTATTATCTCAAGTTTACAGATGAGGAATCTGGAGCAAAATCCATTATTGACTTGCCTAGGGTCACACAGCTCAGAAGTGTGTGATGAGGGATTTGAACTTGGGTCTAGAACACTGAGTAAACCAACCCATCCACCCCCATTTCCCCATCCCTGGCAGGTAATGGGAGGAAAGCGACAAGAGGCACACAGGATGGCTAAACATAGATAGATAATTTGCGTCATTGTAGGGAGTATCCACTTTGTTAAGATCACAGATCCATTTGGATATTAAAATACCTATTTCTTCTTTTCCTTAGGTCATTAATTTTCCCTTTTCTGATTCGTGGAGGAAAGCCAGTACCAATCCTCGTATTCTTGTCGGCATTCATGTTCTGTACGCTTAATGGATACTTACAAAGCCAATATTTGAGTAATTATGCAGTATACTCTGAAAACTGGGTAAAAGATCCCCGTTTTATCACAGGTGAGTCTGATAACCAACTACATAATAAAATAGCATTCCTGCAATTGAGAGCCAACATCATATAATGTACACCATTCTTGGAGTCAAAAGAAGTAGATTTTAGTCTTGGCTTATTTAACTTTTCTGGGCTTTCATTTCCTCATCAGTAAAATGGAGATTATAATTATTCCATTACCTTCTTTGGGGTTAGTGTAAAAATGACAGTTTTTCCTATTCTTCATTTAAATAATAAAACATTATAGTATATGAAGGCTAGCTTACCTACCATCTTTGTATTTAATTTAAATTAGTGGCATGGACTTCACATCAACTTTGGATAGCTTTAAATTTCTAATAATAATAAGAACAGTACAGAAGGCAATAGATGGGAGGCAGTACATTTTCTCTCCATAGAAGTCTTCAGGCAAAGACTGGATACTTGTTGGTATGTTATAGAGAAGAACCATGTTCATCTAGACTAGATGGCCTTTGCGGTGCCTGTCAATTGACATTCTGTAATCTGTAAACTTTGAAATGTTACATAAATATGAATTACTTCTTTTTTAAATTGTCTAGCACATAACTATCTTAAATTTTTCAATAGTGGACCATATAATCAGAGATCTTGGGATTATCAGTGGAGAGGTAGAAGAGTCCTTAAAGGTGATCTTATCTTATTTTACCTTATTTTACAGCTGGAGAAACTGAGGCCCAGAGAATCCATATTTCATAGGCAGCATTAATTTCATTATGTAAGTAGGCTCAAAGAGAACAATCTAAAACTGGAAGGAAGCTTAAAGTACCTATATTATCTGTAATAAGAATCAGAGATTTATATCATAATTGTTTTGCAATAATGAAAAATTAGTCTGTGGGGGGGAAGGCAAATATCTCGATTTGACTAATAATTTTTTATCTTCAGCTGATAACCATAGAGGAAATCAGTGAACTGGTTGTAAGCCTAGTAAATATTTGGTGACAATCAGACTAGAAATAGTATCCCACATGCATGAAAAATATTTTGTTTCAGACCATGACATCTTAGAAGCTGAAGGTACTTCTTAGGTCACACGTCCCCATGTTTAGCGTGGAGAAGCCTTAGGGAAGGATATGATAGCTACCTTCAAGTATCTTAAGGACTATTAAATAAAAAGAATGAGTGGACTTGTTCTGCTTGAACCCAGGGGACAAAACTAGGAGTAGTGGATAGAAGTTGCAGAGCTGTAAATTTCAGGTTGATGTAATTAAAAAACAAAAACAAAAAAACAAACTTAACACCCCCTCTACCACTCCAACCTTCAGTCTTTCTATAACTGCAGATTTCTTTCCTGCTGACTACAAACATTCCTAGATCTTCCCTATCCTTAAAAATCTCACTTGATTCTACCATCCTCTCAAGCTATCATCTTATTTTTTTCCTCCCTCTCAAAGCCAAACTCCTAGAAAGCACTGTCTACTCACATTTCCTCTACTTCTTTTCTCAGCCTATTGTAATCTGCCTTCCAAACTTATTACTTTATTGAAATTGCTCATTCCAAACTTACCAATGCTCTCCTAGTTGCCAACTCTGATAGCCTTTTCTCAGAACTCATTCTTTGTGACAGCTGTAGTATTTGACACTGTTGACCACTTCCTCCTCCTTGATGGACTTTCTTTTCTGTCTATGACTCTACCGTCTTGTGGATCTTTTTCTACTTGTCTGTTTGTTCTTAGTCTCTTTTGCCTAGGTCATCATCCATGTCACTTCCCTAAGTGGGGGTGATATTCTGTAGCAATTCCTCTTCTCATTGATTCCCCTGGCTTTGATAATCTCTTTGCAGATGACTCCCAGATCCAACCCCAGATTCTCACCTGAGCTCCAGTCCCACATCACCAACTCTTTATTTGACATTTCTAAATAGATGTCTCACAGGCAGCTCAAATATGACATGTCCAAAACAGAACTTGACTCTTTCTACACCTTTACTAGAATGTTTACTAGAGAAACCTACTTCTTTACTAGAAGTAGGAAAGAAACTCCTGTTTCTTTCAAGGGTTCCACCATACCACATATCCAATTGGTTTCAAGTTTTTGTCAGTTTTATTTCACTGTATCACTTTGATCTCCTCACTGCTCACTATGGCCATCATAGTAAAGTACCTAGTTATAGAGGAATTGTTAGCACTGTATTAGGAAGCAATACCCATTCTTCTACTTCGTTGTCAAAACACAGAGTGGAGTTCTCACCCTTCATTACCTTGAATCCCACCATTTTCCATTCTTGAGTACACAGAACTGCCAGAGTGATTTCCCTAAAGCAAAAGTCTTACCATGTCACTCCCTTGCTCCACAAACTCCATTGGTTCCTCATTACCTCTAGGATCAAATACAAGTTCTTGAGCATTTAAAGCCCTCCTCAATGTGGCTCCAGTCTACTGTTCTAGCCTTATTAAAGGTTATTCTCCTTTATGGCCTTCCTGCTGTTCCTCACACATGACATTTCATCTCCCAAGTCTTTGCACAGGCTGTTCCAACATCTGTAATTTACCGTGTCCTTTCTTTTGCTTCTTAGAATCTCCCCTTTTCTTCAAAGCTCACCTCAAGCTGCACCTAAAGCTTTTCCTGATCTCCCCAGCTATTAATGCCTTCTCCTCAAAATTAACATGTGTATGTGTGTGTGTATACATATATGTGTGTGTGTTTATTTTATTCTGTATGTTTCATCTCCAATGAGGTGCTTCCTTGAAGCAGTCAGGTGTACAGTAGATAGAATAGTGGGCCTACTTCAGACACTTGCTACCTTTGTGACCCTAGGCAAGTCACTTAACTTCTGTCTACTTCAGTTTCCTTAGCTGTAAAACATGGATAATAGTAGCACCTACCTCTCGGAGTTGTTGTGAGGATAAAATGAGATGTTATTTATAAAGTGCTTAGCCAGTGCCTGACAAGTAGTACTTAAATGTTTATTGATGAGGAGATGGTTGGACTGCCAGATCTCTTGAGATCCTTTCCAATCCTGAGATTCTAGAATTTGTGTATCATTGAAGCTATACATCTTTTTCCAGTTATACATATCATTGACATTGTTTTTCATGTGTTACTACTGCATATGATGGTGATGATGATGCTCAGAGCATCCCTTTCACCATAAAAGTTTTTACAAGCATGTTCTTTCTCACCCTTTCGGTTCATTTATACAACTCTTCTCACCCTTCATTAGCAACCCCATCTGCCTGAGCTGGCAACTCAGTTACCAAACTGTTCCAACAGGTATCCTGTGTGCCCTCAACCATCTATTCTTTCCAAAAATATGTGACTTTTACCACAACTTGACTACGTTGGCTGTGGGTGAGAACTCTACCTTGTGCTTTGTTTATGAGGTGGAGAAACAGGTTTACTCACTTTCTAACATAGTACAAATAATTTCTCCTACAAAGATATGGAGCCTGGGAGATTGTATTATTAATAGTCCCTAAATGATTGAAGCAGAAAATTAAATTTTTTTAATATCCAAGGGGGTGGTAAAACAGGAAGCAGTCCTCATAATAGTAGCAATTAAATTGTTTTAGAAAGATTTTATATTAGTGTAGTTTGTAGATAAATTATTATTTATAACTACTAAAGCAGTCTTTACTTTTATTTCTTTTCCCCATGAGGTTGTGCCATGTGGCTGTTAGGAATGTTAATAAATATCTATTCTGATAATATCCTAAGAAACTTGAGAAAACCAGGAGAGACTGGGTACAAAATACCAAGAGGTAAGTAGAAATCCTGCTAGAATGAACTGTTAATGAATTTATTTTAGCATTGCACCAAAAATCACGTGAGATACTGATAAGGATCCAACTTGAGTATAATGTTAGCTACCTAACGAGCTTTCAGGGTCATGATCAACCACACCATTGAACCATTTAAGTAATGTTCTGTGTTTTATGTGGGCAAATTAAGATTGTTTTAAAGGCTTTTGGATTTCAATTTCTTTTAATCTGGTTATTATAGTGAAGTGTGCGTGTGTGCATGAGCATGCGTTTTCAGTTCTTTGCTCTCAGTAAAAGAGGAATAATAATATCTAAACTACCTATTTGGAATCAAAGAACTTAGAGATCAAGGAGTTGTGAGAAAAGTACTTTGTAAAACTCCATATACATATGAGGTGTTATCATCATTATTCATAGTGCATTTGTGTTACACCAGTTCAGTTCTTGCCTCCCACTTTGTAGTCTAGGTGAAAAGGCAAGGGTGAGAGCTTTGACTTATACTTTGCTAATGAAGTGAAATGAGGGCATAAATAAGAATGGTGTTCTTATTTGCTACTCAGTTATGCCATGTAAAGTCATTCATAAAGCATTTTACAATTACTCTAGGCAGCAGTGGAGTCCAAGGGAATGAAAACTTTTCCAAAGATACCTGTCCTTTGGGTACAGATCATCCCAAACCAGAACTAACCCTATTATACTGGAATAGCTGGTCCTTTTAAGTACAGAACTCATTTTCTTCTCCCCTAAATCCATAGCCATACACTAAAAACTTCCTGTTTCTGTCAAGGGTATCAGCATCATTCCAGTCACCTAGATTTGAAAATCAAGTCATCCTCAACTCTTCTTTCTCCCTTACCCCTCAGATTTAATCAGTTATATCTCCACAGCTTCTCTTACAGCCATGTCCTTCTCTCCACTCTCTTCACTTCTACCCCAACTTTCATTACCTCTAACTTGGACTATTCCATCAATCTATTAATTAAACTGGTTGCTGGCCTCACCCTTCTCGAATGCATCCTCCACATCACTTCCTCAAAAATCTCTGCTTTGGTGAAGTTAGCAGAACCAGTCATGATGTGGGTGTGCAGAATCAAAAAAGTAAACTGAACCCTGTAGTTGAAAGGGATTGAGAAAGTGCACCTTCCCTCCCTTTTACAGAGAAGACTAATGCTATGGCATATTGTTTTTACAGCCAAACATGCTGGAGATACTGGCTTATTTTGCAAAAAAAAAAAAAAATTTCTCAAATTTTTATTCAAGGTCACATTTTGTTCATATTTTAACTTTTCCTTTCTCAACATACAGTTGAGCATTGTATAAAAGCACATACTAATAGACTATAAATTGAGAAAAGAAAACAATATTTTATACTAGTATCACATCTTTATAAAGAAACTTGTAAGCACTTTAAAAAAAAAAAAAACAAAACTAAAAGATCTTAGTTCCTAATTGCTTCCTCCTTACTCACAAAGAACTTACATTCTAATGGGGAAGACAAATATATATAAAAATATATACAGGATAAATATTAGTGAATAAATACAAATTTATACAATGTAGTTAACTACAAGGTAGTAACTACAAAAGGGGCAGCTAAGTGGCACAGTGGATAGAGTGCCGGGCCTGGAGTTAGGAAAACTCATCTTTCTGAGTTCAAATTTGGCCTCAGACACTTATTTGTTCTTCCTTGCATGCCTCATTTATGTGAGATAATTTTTCCCATTCTACCTCTCCTTTCCCCCTTGTCCCAGTACATTACTCTTTCTTACTTCTTCATTTTTTAGTTCATCCCGGTATAGCTGATTCACATCTGTGCCCTCTGTCTATGTAGACTCCTAATGGTTAAATTTTTAGGAATTCCATGTGTCATCTTCCCATATAATAAGGTAAACATTTTAACCTTAGTAAATCTCTTGTGATTTCTCTTTCATGTTTACCTTTTTATTTTTTTCTTCAGTCTTATGTTTGAATGTCAGATTTTCTAGTCATGAATGCTTGAAAATCCTCTATTTAATTAAATATCCATTTTTTTCCCTCTGAAAGATTAATACTTAGTTTTTCTGGGTTGATTATTCTTGGTTGTAATCCTAGCTTCTTTTCTTTCTGCAATATTATATCCCAAACCCTCCATTCCTTTAATGTGGAAGCTGCTAATTCTTGTGTGATCATAACTGTGGCTTTACTATATTTAAATGTTTTTTTTCCTGGCTGCTTGCAACATTTTCTCCTTGACCTTGGAGCTCTGGAATTTGACTGTAGTACTCCTGGGAGTTTTCATTTGGGATCTTTTTCAGGAGGTGATATCTGGATTTTTTCAATTTCTGTTTTACCCTCTGGTTCTAGGATATCAGGGTAGTTTTCCTTGAAAATTTCTTTAAAGATGATGTCTAGGCCCTTTTTTTAATGATGCCTTTTAGGTAGTCCAATAATTCTTAAGTTATCTCTCCTCAATCTATTTTTCAAGTCAGTTTTTCTGATGAAATATTTCACATTTTCTTCTTTTTTTCTTTTTGATTTTATTATTTCTTGATATCTCATAGACAGTAGCCTCCATTTGTCCAATTCTAATGTTTAAAGAATTGTTTTTCTCCAGTGAGCTCTGGTACCTACTTTTTCCCATTTTGCCAATTCTGCTTTTTATGAATTCTTTTCTTCAGTGAATTTTTGTGCCTCTTTTTACCATTTGACCAATTCTGTTTTTTAAGGTATCATTTTCTTCAGTATTATTATGTGTCTCTTTTAGCACACTTTTAGATCTCTTTCCATAATTTTCTTGCATCATCATTCCCACTTCTTTTCTCAATTTTCCTTGTATCACTCATTTCTTTCTTTAGCTCTTATAGGAATTCTTGTTGGGCTTGTATCTAATTTGCCTTTTTCTTTGAAGCTTTGCTTTTAGCTATTTTCATATTGTTGTCTTCTTCTGAATTTGTGTCTTCATCTTCCCTATCACCATGGTAGCTTTTTACGGTAGGTTCTTTTTTTCATTGTTTGCTTATTTTTCCAGCCTCTTTCTTAACTTTGAATTTTATGTTAAAGTCAAGCTCTACTCACCTGTGGTCCCAAGCATCAAGCTTTTTCATGCTGCTGTTTTCAGAACAATTTTGTGGGTCTGTAAGTTTTCATTGCTTCCAACGTAGTGTGATCTGAGGAGAGGTGAGATCACTGCTCTCTTCAATCTGTGCTCTGGTCTTAACACTGGAAGGCCCCCTGTTCCCATGTAGCCAAAAGCACTAATGCCCCTTTCTACTCTGGAATGTCTCTAGGATTAGAGCTTCCAAAGCTGCCACCACTGGTTTCTCAACCACCTCCAAGGCCCGCCACTATAGTTGCCGCTGCGTGTACTCCAAGCTGATCCCTTCCCCCATGTCACGGACCTCACCCTTCATTCTCCCAAGTTTTCTTGGGCTAGAGAAATGTCTTACCTTTTGTTGGCTCTACTACTCCAGAATGCTATTTGACACATTATTCTAAAGTTGTTTGGAGGGGAATTTTGAGAAAGTTCACTGGGTTGCTGCCTCAACTCTACTGTCTTGACTCTACTCTCATCTTCTGTTTTTATGTTCAAAGTTATTTCCTGATATCCCAAATTAGAACGCTTCCTTATAACAAATCTTTTTTTTAAAACCTAAGTAAAGGCACTCAACGCAATGATTAAATCTGACAGCATATGCAACATAGTGAACCCATAGTCCCCATTTCTCTACCAAGAGAAAGAAAGTTTGTTTTATCATCTTTCCTTTGAGACCAAGACTCACATGATTGAAGTTAACATGGTTTTTTGTGTTGTCTACAGTACTGTATTCATTCAGTCAGTTAATCAGCAAGCATTTATTAAGTGTCTACTGTGTGCCAGGCGTTGTGCTAATCAATAGGTGTTGAAAAACAAAAATTAAAACAGTGCCTTAAGGAGCTTGTGTTTCACTGTGGGGTTACAACACACATTGGGGAGTAGTGTCCAGCAAGAGGAACTTTGTTCTTTACTATGAAAATGCCCCACAAAAGGGAGCTGCCTTTGGCATTTTACTACAGACTCAACTATTGGGTAGTCCTTGTCAGTGATAGGGATTGCTAATGGAGCCTTTGCAGTAGTACTATTGACTTGATTATTTCTCCCTGTGGAAGGTGAAAAGTGTAGGGAAAAGGCAGTTAGAGAGTGGCAGGATAATGGGCAATATGCCCCCACTTTCTATGCCTAAGCCTTTTGATGGATGGCTAGATGAGATAAAGTATGGTCTGGGGATCTGGGGCTGGCGAAACATAGGGAACTGAAGTGAGAATTAGCTTATCTTCTAATCTAGGCAGCTCCACCTCAGGGAGGAGTGTGTACCATGAATCCCATTCTCTTGGTTCTGCTTTTTTTTTTAACCGCATCAGTTCATATACATTTTGTTATGTTTCTCTGAATTGCTCGTATTCTCATTCTTAAAAAAAATTTCCCATTTTTTTAATGCTATTTTTATATTGTGTTCATTTCCAAATAGATTGCTCCCTTCTCCCCTACTCTGCTTTCTATCTTTGTAACAAGTATTATTAAAGAAAGAAAAAGAAATAGTTAAACAAAACTTACCAATATATGAACCATATCTGATGATATGTATAATATTCCACCATATCTGGAGAGAGGAAGGGAAGTGAACTTTCTTTAGCACAGTCATTATAATTAAACAATGTTTAAGGTTTTTTGTTGTTGTTTCCATTTATACTGTTGAAGTCATTTTGGATATTGTTTTCTTAGTTCTTTGTATTTTACTCCGCATTAATTCACAGATCTTTACCATATTTCTGTGGTTATTTCATATTCATCATTTCTTAACAGTACAATACTGTTCCATTTTTCTCCACTACAGTTTGCTCAGTTATTACCTAGACAATGGACATCTACTTTGTTTTGAGGGGTTTTTGTTGCTTTGCTACCACAAAGTGATGGCACCTTTGACAAGTCTCAGAAGGCTCTTTGCCGCATAATGGAGATATTCCCTAAGAAAAGAGCAGACCCTTCTATTATTTGTGCTTATTTGCGTCAGTTCAACAATGTTGGTGTCACCACTACCCTGCAGGGAATCTCCAACCAGCTCCACTCTACACTTCAATGAACCATTATTGGATGACCTTTTTTCTAGTAGCCTTGTACATTAGATATGATTTATAGATAAAGGGAAAAAAAGTGAAATCCAACGTTCTTTCAACTGCAGTATGCTGGCAAGGAATTTTCTTCCTAGCTGCCTAAATTGGAAATTGAGATACACAGAAAATACCCCACAAATGGGAGCTGCCTTTGGCATTTTACTAGAGACTCAACTGTTAGGCAAGTAGCTTTAAGAGAAAATGACAAAGAATAACTTCCCATATGTAAGGGAGCCCTGCATCAATTTTTCCATTTAAGTGGTTGAGTTGTTTAGGAACATATCAGGGAGTCAGCAGATTTGGGGAGAGGTTAAAGATTAGGGTTTTTTGGTAGGCTTATTAGACAGTATCCTGTTGACTAATTTTAAACCTTTTTAACTTGGCAGTTGTCTCATGTGTCTATAATTTTGCTTTATTTTAAATCTTCCCTTATTTTTTTTTTTATTTTTTATTTTTTGGTGAGGCAGTTGGGGTTAAGTGACTTGCCCAGAGTCACACAGCAAGTAAGTGTTAAATGTCTGAGGCTGGATTTGAACTCAGGTCCTCCTGACTCCAGGGCCAGTATCTATCCACTGTGCCACGTAGCTGCCTCCATTAATTTTTCTTTTTTTAGTAAAGCTTTTTATCACTGTCCTTGTCTCAGTTGAATTAAAGCAAAGAACACTGATCAATTCCTGGCCCAAAGATTCAGAAAGAATGTGTTATTTTTCGTCAAGGATCAGATTCAGTAGAAACCCTTTTGGAAGGGGACTGAGGAACCTAACATTGCAAATTGTTCTACAGTGGCTTCGCAGAAGCATTTTATCATAAGAATTTTTAAAAAATAGATTTTAATTGACATCTTTTATTTTTACTTTGCCTGTATTTCTTCTTACAAGTCTCCTTCCCCTTTCCTAGAGAACTATCCCTTTTGACAGAAGTTTTAAAAATAAAATAGAGGAAGAAGAGAAAAAAATTTCATTAAACTGATTGTCTCACTTCTGTGGACCCCAACCTTTGAAAAAGAAGAGGGGAGGTGGCTTCACATATCTCTTCTTTGGGGCCAGGCTGGTTCCTAATAATTTCATAACAAATTTTTCTTCCCTTGTGGTCGTTATTCTTTCCATTTTGAAACTGTTGTATGTAGCCTTTGCATATATTGTTTTCTTGGCTCTGCTTACTTCATTTTCCATCAGTTTGTGCAAGTCTTCATGTTTTCTATAGTATAGTAATATGCTATTGCATTCATATATCACAATTTGTTTAGCCTTCTCCAATTGATACTTTGTTTTCAGTTCTTTCCTACTACAACAAAAAGTGCTGCGATAAATATTTTTATTTATGTGGAGCTTTTCTTCTTACCAGTGACCTTCTTGGGGGATATGATTAACAGTAGAATCTCTGAGTCAAAGGGTATGGACATTTTTGTCCTTTATTATTATTAGATTCTTATTAGTCACTAGTTATTCCAAATTGCTTTCCAGAATGGTTATATCGGTTCATAACTCCATCAATAATGTATTCGTGTGCCTATCTCTTTACAACCTCTCCAACATTGATTATGCTGAATTTTTGTTATCTTTCCCAATTTTAGTGGAGATTATTTTTTATTTTCTTCTCTTTTTTGAGGTTTAGAACATTCTTTCATTTTGCTGTTAATAGCTTGCAATTCCTTTGAGAACCATTTGTTATCATCCTTGACCACATATCTACTGGTAATGGCTTTGGGGCTTATACAGTCCTATTTTATTTTATTTTAAAATTGATCTAGTGTCAGTTCAGCAATATTGATAAAGCAGAAAAATTTAACTTCAGCTAACCTGAGTTAGATCCATATCTTTAACTTTAAACAAATCTGAACCAAGTTGCTAAATACATTCAGTGCCCTGCTTAATTGAGAAGTGTGTAAAAATAGAAATTGGAAAGATAAAAATAAATTATCCAATCTCACCAGTCACCACGTACATTCTGAAAGGAAGAGATTTCTCGTATTTAAATTCATATTCTCTGGAAGCCAATGAAACAAATCACTTGAAAATAGTTAATGTTCATGAACTGATATCACTTCACTTTTTTGTGAGGAGGATCTTCATGGTAAATTTACTCTTTTGTTTTGCTTCCATTAACTTTAGGAGGCTTGTTTGAATATGTTACTGCAGCCAATTTCTCTGGAGAGGTGATAGAATGGTATGGATATGCTCTTGCAAGTTGGTCCTTTGAAGGCATTGCATTTGCACTATTTACAACTTGTGTTTTAAGTGCCAGAGCGCAACAGCATCACAGGTAATATTTTATTTTAATATTAATAACTCCATATGCTTATTTTCTTTTGTCTTAATTACAAAAGCTGGGATGGCAGTCATGATTTTTCAGGCAAGGCTACAATAAAAATAAACTTGATATGAAGAAATAAGCCGAGAAACTGCATTATGCTTAAAGGTACCATAACTTATACATCAATGTCAGTACTTAATATATATGCAGCAAACAATATAGCGTCTAAATATTTAAAGGAAAAGTTAATTGAGGGAGAAATAAACAGTACATCTATAATAGTAAGGGACCTCTATGTATCCCTTTCATACCTAGACAAATTTAACAAAAAGATAAACAAGAAGACCTTGACTAGAACTTCAAAACATATTGAAATGAGAGATCTTTGATGATTACTGAATGGAAACAGCAAGGCATTTGCATACCTTTCAGCTGTGCATGTCACTATTACAAAACCTGACCATGTATACTGAGGTATAAAAACCTCACAAATGAATGCAGAAACACAAATACTTGCTTCTTTACATGAACACAATAAAATAAAAATTATATTAAAGGGCCTTTGCAGAGAGAAAAAATTAATTGGAGACTCAATAACTCAATCCTAAAAGATTGATGAGTCAATGAACAAAACATAGAAATTGTAGAAAATTTCATCAGAGAAAATGGCACCAATTGAAAACATAGCAAAATTTATAGGACATAGCTAAAGCAGTCCTTAAGGAAAATAGATATCTCTAAATATTTTCATCAACAAAAGAAAGATTAATTAATTGATCATGCAGCTACAAAAACTAGAAAAACAACAAATCAAAACCCTTGATTAAACACCAAATAAAAATTCTGAAAATCAAAGAAGCAATTAACAAAATTGAAAGCAAAAAAAAAAAAAAAACAAATAACAAACAAAAACTTTTTAATTGATAAATAAAACTAGGTGCTAACTTTGAAAAACTAATAAAATAGATAAACAGTTAATTTGGCTTAAAAAGAGCAGAAGAGCAAACTGTTCTTATCAAAAATGAAAAAGGAAGATTCACAATTGATGAAATAAAAGTGGCTATCAGAAATCATATGCCAACATAACTGATAATATAGATGAAATGGATGAATACTAACAAAAATATAACATGCCAGCTTACCAGAAGAAAAAAATAGATTATTTAAATAGTCCAGTATCAGAAAAAGAAATTAGAAGAAAAAAAAGAAAAGAAATTAGCAATATCAAAAATGTGAAAGTTGGACTCTTGACCAATGAAGAAATAGAAGAAATGATTAGGAGCTGTTTTGCTTAGTGATATAACCAATCTCAGTGAAATGCATTAATGTTTACAAAAAATATAAAATGCCTAGATTACTGTAACAAGACAGGAAATAGAGGCCTTAATAGCCCAATCTTAGAAAAAGAAATTGAACAGTCCATAAATGAACTCAAAGAAACCCAGTGACCAGATGGATTTACAAATGAATTTTATCAAACATTTAAAGAATGATTAATTCCAATAGTATAAAAAAAAATAAGAAAAGGGGGGCTCCTACCAAATTCTTTCTATGATACAAATGTGGTCTTGATACCAAACCAAGGAGAGTTAAAACAGAGAAAGAAAAGCATAGACCAGTATCCTAATGAATACTGATGCAAAAATTTTAAATAAGATATTTAAGCCAGGAGACCACAGCAACACATCTCAAAGATTATACACTATTGCCTGGCCAGATTTATATCAAGAATGCAACATTAGTTCAGTATTAGTTAAATTATAAACATAATCGGCCATATTAATAACAAGAACAGCAAAAATGTGATTTTATCAATAGAAACAGCTTTTAACAAGATGCAAAATTAATCTTGTTTAAAAAAAAAATAACCTCTAGTATGCATAGGAATATACAGATCTTTCCTTAGTAGTATCTGTCTAAAACCAAGAGCCAGCATTATCTGTAATGGGGATAAGCTGGTGGCTTCCAGTAAAATCAAAGGTGAAACAGGGTTGTCCATTATCACCATTATTATTCAAAACAGTGCTAGAAATTCTGGCTATAGCAATAAGACAAGAAAAAGAAATTAAGGAAGTATGCATAGGCAAAGAGAAAACAAAGTGATGACTTTTGCAGATAATTTGATGGTTTGCTTAGAAAACTCTAGAGTCAACTTAAAAAAAAGGTTAATTGAAACAATTAACTTCAGAAGCAAAGTTGCAGGATATAAAATAAACTCATATAAATTATCAGCATTTCTGTATATTACCAACAGTCAAAATGGTCAACCACAATTCCAGAGGAATCAAGATGAAATATATTACCCACCTCCTAACAAAGGTGATGGACCTAGAGTACAGATATATTTGGACATGGCCAGTGAAGGAATTTGCTTTCTTGGCTATACATGTTTATAACAATGTTTATAAGAGGGGTTTCATTTTTCTTGCTTTTTCAATTGGGGAGGGGAAGGGAGGAGCTGAGAAGGAAAGAATACCAATTTGAAATTTTTAAAAACTTAATCTTTAAAAATTTCTTTGACTTTTTTTTTTTGCAAACCTATCACTAGCTTCCTCTCTTACATCCCCACTCCTATTGAAAAAAAGGGGGAAACGAAAACCTTTGTAGTAAATATGCATAGTCAACAAAACAAATTCCTGCATTGCTCATAAGCCTGAAAATGTTTGCCTTATTCTGCACCTTGAGTTTATCACCTCTGTCAGGAGGTGTGGGTGGCCTACAGGAATTGTGGTTGGTCTGTGACTCTTTCCATTCCTTGTTTAGTTATGAACTTTTCCATTACTTGTAGTTGTGAAAGACATTGTCTTCCTTGCTTCTCTAATTTAGTCATGATGTGACCTTTTATGTCTAAGTTACATTCATTGGAAGATGATTATGGCATACAGTGTGAGATTTTGGCCTGTATCAAATTTCTGCCAAACTTCTTTCCAGGTTCCCAGTAGTTTGTGTCAAATTGTGTGCTTTTCTCTCAGTAGTTGAAATGTTTGGGTTTATCTATGCTACTATGTTCTTTTACATCCATAAATAACAGTTTATCTAATGTGTTCCACTTATCAACTTTTCTATTTTTTAACCGGATCCATCATGATTCTGTGTCATTCTGTTTTGTGATCATCCTTTGTTTTTGTGTGTCGTCCCTAACTTTTTATAATTGAGTTGGATATCCCTTCCACAGTGGACTACATCCAACTTGTTTAAGAGATGGTGAAGCAACCCTCTTTTCTCTCATTAGCTACGGCACAGTGACAGTCATAGCTTTTAGGTCTTTTGATATTAAGTACTAGTCACCTTTCAGTATCCAAGATAAAACTGCTCAGAAATGCAAATAAATGATCCTAAATGTGCTTATGGAGTGAAGAAGTCAAAGTTGACAATCTTTGCTCAATTTAAGAAGGGCTATTAATATAATAGCTTTTCCAATACCCAAATGTTATTAACTTTATTTCACTGAGGCTGAACTTAACATCCTGTTTTGAAACATTTCAGATGCTTGTTTAACCTGAAAGCCACAACATGTTGTTTAATCGTTTTTCAGTTTTTGGCACATAGTCATTACTAATGTTTTTTGTGCTATGTTTAGCACCTTGAGAGGCTTCCTGGTATAATGGATTAGGAGTGGCGCTTGGAGGTAAGAGGACCTAGGTCCAATCCTCCTTTAACACTTACTGGTTGTGGGACCCTAGGAATGTTATTTAGTTTCTCAGTGTTCTAGGCTGTGTCAAACAAGAGGGCCACATGAGGCCCACACTCCCCTGAGTGCAGCCCAGACCAGATTGAGAAATGCTTAACAACATAGATAAAAATATAATGAAGTATAGATACTTTAAAACTAAGTCAATGTGTAGCTGGCAGGATCCTTATATACAGAGGCCCTGTTTCTATTTAAGTTTAAATTAACTTTTTTTTTCCTTTCTTAAGGTGGTACCTGGAGAAATTTGAAGACTATCCAAAGTTTAGGAAAGTCATAATTCCATTTTTATATTAAGCACATCATCAGTAAAATTTTCTCCTATCTTCAGCTTCAAGAGTTTAGATAATTTTCTCTGGGGAATATCGTGCTGTAAAAAATGAGGAAATAAATTAATTCAAAGAGTCATGGCAGTATTTGTATAAACTGAAGTAGAGTGAGGTGACTAGGACCAGAAGGAAAATTGATACTATAACATCAATTTTATAAAAATGAACAATTCTGAAGACTTGTCTAACCTGATGAAGATTAAATGAGGCAAACCTGGAGAACAATTTGTGCAATAACAATACCACTATACAAACAAGCATCTTTGAAAACTATAAGAACTGCAATCAATGAAATGGCTTCCAGAATTTCAGAGGACTGATAATGAAGCTTGCTATCTACATCCTGATAGAGAAATAATACATTTAGGATGAAGAATGAGATGTGTATTTTTTAAAAATAGCTAATGAGGAAATTTGTTTGACTATACATATTTGTTAAAAAAGGAATTTGTTTTCCTTTTTTCATAGGAGCCAAGGGATAGGAAGGAGAGAAAATTGATTTGTGAAATAAAAAACTAAATTTAAATAATAGAGTTTCCATTGATCTCTTAATTGCCAAATATTGTGGCCTTTTCTCAGTTCTCACCTTTTTTTTTTTTAAACCTCTCTGTTTATTTTGCTTTTGGCAAGGCAATGGGGTTAAGTGACTTGCCCAGGGTCTGAGGCTGGATTTGAACTCAGGGACTCCTCACTCCAGGGCCAGTGTTTTATCCACTGTGACACCTAGCTGCCTCCTTTTAAACCTTTCTACAGCATGTGACGCTATTGACCTCTGTCTCCTCCTGAATACTCTCTCTGGGTTTTTATGACACTGTTAAACAGGTTCTTCCTGTCTAACTACTTCTAAGTTCTCTTTTTACTAGATTATCCTCCACATCTGGTCCCAGCTGGGTGTATCCACAAGGCTCTGTCCTGGCCCCTCCTCTCTTCCCTCTTTCAGTGATTTCATCAACTCCAATAGATTTAAATATCTCTCTGTACAAATGACTTTTAGCTCTGTATATCCAGCCCTATTCTTTCTCCTGAACTGGTTTAACCCTATATCACCAAATGTCTGGATGTCAACAGGCATTTTTAAAACTCAGCATGTCTCAAGCAGAAGTCACTCTTTCACTCCAAACTCGCCCTCCTTCTGAACTTTCTTGTTGAGGACACCTCAGTGCTTCCTTTCACTCAGGTTTGCAAGCTGAAAGTTATCTTTGATTCCACATTCTCCCACACTCCATGTACCCAAATCAGTTGCTGAGTCTTCTGGATTCTCTTTCCACAACATCTCACATTTAATCCCCATCCTCACACAGCCACCATCCAGATTCAGTCCCTCATAACCTTTCACATGTATCATTTCTAGTGTCCTGATTGGTCTCCAGCCCCTCCCCAACCCAACCTATCCTCCACACAGCTACCAAAGTGGTTTTCCAAAATTATGTGTTTGACTGTGTCACACCCCACTCAAACTCCTGTGGTTCCTCCTGCTTCTAGGATGAAATACAAACTCCTGTATGGCACTTAAATCACTTTACAATCTGGTTCCTGCCTACCTTCGAAGCCTTAGCCAGGGGTGGGGAACCTGCAGCCTCGAGGCCACACCTGGCCTTCTAGGTGTGTGGGTGTGGCCTTTTGCCTGGGTTGAAGTTTGACAGAATAAATCCTGTTATTAAGGATTATTATTGGGGGCAGAGTCAAGATGGCAGAGTGAAAGCAGTGATTTGCTTGAGCTCTCCCCCAAACCCCTCCAAATACCTGTAAAAAAATGGCTCTAAACAAATTCTAAAGCAGCAGAACCCACAAAAAGACAGAGTGAAACAAATTTCCAGCCCAAGACAGCCTGGATGGTTGATTGGAAAGGTAAATTGCGCCGGCGGAGAGAGGAGCGCAGTTTGGTGTGGGCGCACAGGCCGTAGCAATCCTGGAGCAGGCCTCAGAGGACTGAATCGTGGGCAGCTGTGGTGGTTTCCAGACTTCTCAACCCAGGAACACCAAGGGCAACTTAGAAGGTCAGTGGGAAAAGTCTGTGACTGCAGTGAGAGAGGAGCTAGGTCTAAGTCGCAAGTTCCAAGCGCGGCCTCTGGGGCAGCTCACGAGGCTTCTGGCCCACAGACTGAGGGGAAATCAAGTGGCTGCTCAGAGAGGGATTGCAGGGATCTCTTTGCCAGTGCTGAGACAGGAATCTCTTGCTTTACTGGTGCTTAGATCTGGGTCACAGTTCTGAGGGGAGGTCGAAGGGTGAGGAGGAGCACTGGCGTGGTAGAGCTTATTGTGGCGGTGATATTGCCGCCCCTTATCACAGCACCTTGGAATAACTGAAAATTTACAGGTGCCTAGAAGTATCTCTGGAAACTGCTGTACAAACCCCCGCAGCTTGGGACAGTACATTCTTCACACTGGAAGCAGACTCTTACCTTAACAAAGAGTTTAAAATGCAAGTAACTGGCTGGGATCATGAGTAAGCAGTGCAAAAAGAGTCAGACTATATTATCTTACTTTGGTGACAAAGAAGATCAAAACATACAACCAGAAGAAGACAACAAAGCCAAAGCTCCTACATCCAAAGCCTCCTAGAAACATATGCGTCAGTCCCAGGCCTTGGAAGAGCTCGAAAGGTATTTTGAGAAGCAAGTAAGAGAAGTAGAGGAAAAACTGAGAGTGATGCAAGAAAATCATGAAAAGCAAGTCAACAGCTTGCTAAAGAAGACCCAAAAAAATACTGAAGAAAATAACACCTTAAAAAATAGCCTAACCCAAATGGCAAAAGAGGTCCAAAAAAGCCAATAAGGAGAAGAATGCCCTAAAAAGCAAAATTGGCCAAATGGAAAAGGAAGTTCAAAAGCTTACTGAAGAAAATACTTCCTTAAAAATTAGAATAGAGCAATTGGAAGCTGGTGACTTTATGAGAAATCAAGACACTGTAAAACAAATCCAAAAGAATGAAAAATTAGAAAACAATGTGAAATATCTCATTGGAAAAACAACTGACCTGGAAAATAGATCCAGGAGAGAGAATTTTAAAATTATTGGGCTATCTGAAAGCCACGATCAAAAAAAGAGCCTAGACATCATCTTTCAAGACATTATCAAGGAAAACTGTCCTGATATTTTAGAACCAGAGGGCAAAATAGAAATTGAAAGAATCCACTGATCTCCTCCTGAAAGAGATCCCCAAAGGAAAACTCCTAGGAATATTGTAGCCAAATTCCAGAGTTCCCAGGTCAAGGAGAAAATATTACAAGCAGCCAGAAAGAAACAATTCAAGTATTATGGAAACACAATCAGGATAACACAAGATTTAGCTGCTTCTACATTAAGGGACCTCAGGGCATGGAATATAATATTCCAGAGAGCAAAGGAGATAGGATTACAACTAAGAATCACCTACCCAGCAAAACTGAGTATAATCCTTCAGGGGAAAAAATGGTCATTCAGTGAAATAGAGGACTTTCAAGCATTCTTGATGAAAAGACCAGAGCTGAATAGAAAATTTGACTTTCCAATATAAGACTCAAGTGGAAAATAAAGAGGTAAACAGGAAAGAGAAATCATAAGAGACTTATTAAGGTTGAACTGTTTATATTCCTGCATGGAAAGATGATATTTCTAACTCATGAGACCTTTGTCAGTATTAGGGTAGTTGGAGGGAAAAAATTATATGTATGTATATATAGATACAGATAGATAGAGGGCACAGGGTGAGTTGAAAATGAAGGGGTCATAACTGGAGAATAAAATTAAGGGGTGAGAGAGGAATATACTAGGAGAAGGAGAAAGGGAGAGGTAGAATGGAGTAAATTATCCCACAAAAAAAAACCAAAACAAAAGAAAAGGCTCTTATAGTGGAGGGGAAACGAGGGAAGGTAAGAGGGAATGAGTGAATCTTATTCTCATAGGATTTGACTTAAGGAGGGAATAACATACACACTCAATTGGGTGTGGAAATCTGTCTTACCCTATAGGAAAATAGGGGGGGAAGGGGACAAGAAAGTAGGGGGATGATAGAGAGGAGGGCAGATTGGGAAAGGGAGTAATCAGAAGCAAGTACTTCTGAGGAGGGCTAGGGTCAAAAGAAAGAATAGAATAAATGGGTGGGCGGGATAGGATTAAGGGAAATAGAATTAGTTTTTCACAGCATGTCTACTATGGAAGTGTTTTGTATAACTGCACATGTATAACCTATATTTAGTTGCTTGCCTTATCAATGAGGGTGGGGGGAGGGAGGAAGGGAGAAAATTTGGAACCCAAAGTTTTAAAGACACATGTTTAAAAAAAAACGTTTTCACATGCAACTGGGAAATAAGAAATACAGGAAATGGGGTACAGAAATCCATCCTGCCCTATAGGAAAATTGAAGGGGAAGGGGATAAAGAGAAGGGGGGGAGAGATAGAAGGGAAGGCAGACTAGGGGAAGGGGTATTTAGAATGCATACCATCTTGGGGTAGTGGGAGGGCAAGATGGGGTGAAAATTTGGAACTCAAAATCTTGTGGAAGTAAATGTTGAAAAAAAAATAAATTATTAATTGTGAGGGACTGTTTGATGCCAGCTACTGCCAGATGGGGGTTGTGCCAACGTGGGACGGAAACTGGGTACCAGAAAGCAACTGGAGCTCTTGCTCCCGAGGCAGAGGCGGTGCTGGGCAGAGTTGTAGCGTACTGAGATGAGATCTGGGGTCAGAGAGGTAACCGGAGCTCACGCTCCGAGACTGGAGCGGTGCTGGATGGAGCTGTGACAGGCTGGGGAGGAAGCGGGGTACAGGGAAGTGGCTGGAGCGCGCGTTCCCTAGGCAAGGACTGTGCCGCTTGGAGGGGGACGGCAGAGAGCGAACTCTCTCTATCTAGCCTCCTTCTTTAGGTACTATGCCGATCCCAGACACCTCCCCCCGGTATCTGGACCTGACTTCCTGAGTCACGTATGCTCCCTAGGTATAGCACTGACCCCAGACACCTCCCCCCAGTATCTGGACCCGACTTCCTGCGTCACGTGTACTCTCCGCACTAATCCCTCACGCCTCCTTCCAAATCTCTGGGACCCACTTCCTGTGCCACGTATGCTCCCTTTGTCTGGACACTAGCTGGACACCCCTTTTTTGATATTTGATCCTCGACGAGTCACTATGGGCGGGCTGAGGAGGAGGGACGAAGAAGGTACTAAAAAGAGCTGCAGGGAGGGGGGGGCGGAGTTGGCTTTTGTTCCTGCCCGCGCGTGTGCCTTCCTGCCTGGCCTTGCTGTGATGATAAATGAATAAAGTTCAGGTTTTTGCACCCCCCCATCGGCTCGTTTCTGGTTTTACCCGGGTGGCCTCCGATGATACGGTGAGTATGACCCTGGTTGGCTGAATTGGTTGAATGAGTGTGCACGGTTAGGACCGGCACAATTAATGATCACTTATGCCTTTTGTGTATTTATATAACATAACAAATGTTCAATAGCACTATATACCTGTCTGTAAGCCATCCTT